CTGAGTCCTGGATCTGTCCGTGTGGAGTGGATCCCTCTCTCTGTGGATCTGAGGTTTTTTTCTCCCACTGGGTTTCAGAGTGTTTCCTCTGATGCAGGAGTCTGTTTGACAGTCTGTGTGACTGTCAAACAGACTGTGGTGATCCAGGACACTTTAACATTCTACATGTATGACATTTTGGTCTTGTCATAACCCGGCTCAGTAGAAATGACAGAAACACAGTTGCCAATTGAAATTATTTTTTATTAATGACCAAAGTTAATATTTTGATGAGGTGTGGAAGTCTGTAGTGTGTGTGTGCAGTGTACTACAGTGAGAGTCTGAGGGGTTTAGAAAATAAACCAAAACGAGCCAAGACGAACCAAACCAAATGAACTGAACCAAACCATAGCAAACCAAACGAAAAGGATACCATGTGGTCTCTCCCTATGGTCCAATACCATGTGGTCTCTCCCTATGGTCCAATATCATGTCGTCTCTCCCTATGATCCAATACCATGTGGTCTCTCCCTATGGTCCAATCTCTCCCTATGGTCCAATACCATGTGGTCTCTCCCTATGGTCCAATACCATGTGGTCTCTCCCTATGGTCCAATCTCTCCCTATGGTCCAATACCATGTGGTCTCTCTCTATGGACCAATATCATGTGGTCTCTCCCTCACAGTTTTCAGGGCCTTTGGGAATATTCCAGAATGAAGGGACATGTTTACTATCTGTGTGAGTGAAGGTAACAGACTGCTCAGAACAGACTTCAGAAATCTAGTGGGTAGTACATCCAGGCTGCATGTGGAGGAGCTCAAACTGGAGATTATCTCTTGGACAGTTTGATCATTTACAGGTGCAAAGTAAGTTAGCTCAGAGAGCCTTTCTGGCTGTTGGATGGTTATCTGTCTGAGAAAGGTGCTATATAAATAAACTTTGCTTGCTTGCTTTGCTTGCTATCTGTGGATTGGAGACAATGGCGTTTTTGATGCTTTGAACCTTGTCATTGAAAAAAAATTTAAATTCATTGCATTTACGTTTGGAAGTAAGCTCTAATGGCATTTGAATGGGGGGTTTGTTAATCTTTCTTTCTTTATTCTTTATTCTTTACATGTGTTTAACGATATACCAAACAATACATCAAAGGATCGAAATATACAGTTCACATGTCAGAATAGGAGCATGTTGAAGACCGAGTCTTATTGTTCATGCCCCTAAAGCAAAAAAGAAAAAAAAAAATAACACTTATTTTGATGATGATGAGCGCCTCAAAAAAAAAAAAAAAAAAAATACAATCTACACACATTTGCTTATATACAATATACACACATTTAGTTTCCTCACAGTATAATTACTATTGTTATTATTCTCTTTTTTTTTTTTTTTTTCTAAATTTTTTTAAGTTTTTTGAAATATGTATTGGTCAATGATTAACACACATTTTACTTTATTTTAACCTCCAATTCCAAATATTTTGTACATGCATATACACACACACACAAATATGCACACATCAAAGTATGTACGCATACACACACCCACACACAGGCATGCACATATCAAAGTATGTACACATACACACACACAGGCATGCACATATCAAAGTATGTACACATACACACACACAGGCATGCACATATCAAAGTATGTACACATACACACACACAGGCATGCACATATCAAAGTATGTACACGTACACACACACACACACACGCACACAGGCATGCACATATCAAAGTATGTACACATATGCACATAAATCTACATACAAATACATTCATATCCATGCATATTCATCTACACATATCTATATTTGTCCATTAAGTATAAAGTATACATGCGTTTCATTTGGTCTATGGTGTGATGTGATTGAAGATCGTTGCCCAAACTGTTCCAGAGCCTGATTCCAGAAACAACAAAGCCTCTTTGTTTTAGTGACGTGCGGGTAAATGGTACACAAAAGTTTCCTTTCCTCCTGCTGTCTTCAGTGATTAAAATGAATTTCCTGTAAATGTGCTCAGGAACCAATTGATTTCTGATTTTCCACATGGCTAATATAGTTTTTAACTGAAAAAGATCTGAAAATTTTAAGGTGTTATGTTTAATGAAAAGATCATTGGTGTGGTCTCTTGGACCTTTGTGATTAATGATTCTTATTGCTTTCTTTTGGAGCAGGAAAACTTGATTTGTGAAACTTTTGCAAGCATTGCCCCAGACCTCAATACAATACAGAAAATATGCCACAATTATAGATGTATAAATCCTGAACAATGCTTTCTCATCAAATATATGTTTAACCTTATATAAAATACCAATGGATTTACTAATTTTATTATTTATATAGTTAATGTGACTTTTCCAATTAAGTTTAATCTATTCCAGTTAATCTATTAACTGTTGAGAACAGAACACGCAGATTGTTGCTGCAGCCTTCAATCATTTCAGAAAAATACCTTTCTCTCGTACTACGTAGGACCCGGTTAAACTCGCACAACTTATCTTTGAAGATCTCGTAATCAACCTGGAGGTTGGACTTGCGCCACTTCCGGCCCTCCGGCACGTTCTCTTTGTGCCCTGACCGAGTCTGCTTTAGCCCACGGCGCCTTCTGCTTATTTTTCACTATTTTAACCTTCACAGGGGCAACGGTATCCAGAACATTCAAAACACTAGAGGTGACAGAGTTAAACAGTTCATCTACAGTAGAATAGTTCACTCGTATTTTCATTTATGCATCTTCTACAACTGCAGCGTCCACTGGTGGTTTGTTAGTGAAACACACACAAAAATGATCTGACATAGCAACGTCAACTATGTTTCCATTTGAAATATTCACCCCCTTAGTAACTAACAGGTCTAGAGTGTGCCCTCTGCCGTGGGTGGGGCCACTCACATGCTGAGTGAGATCAAAGGATTCAAGTACAGAACTCAGCTCTTTTGCCTTTCTGTCATTAACATTATCCACATGAATATTAAAATCACCTGTAATAACTAAACTATCAAAATCTCTGCATACAACTGAAAGCAACTCGGTAAAATTATCAATAAAACTGTGACATGACTGCGGTGGCTTGTATAGGACAACGGAAAGTATTGGAGGAGATTGTTTTTGTTGTATTTTAAAAGACACATATTCAAATAACGAAAGCTTTCCAAGAGACATTCTATGGGAGACAAAGTGGTCCAATACCATGTGGTCTCTCACTATGGACCAATACCATGTGGTCTCTAGTTTTTGTGCGTTAACTGTTGATTCTCTGATCTGTTGGTGGATGCTGTTGTGATTTTGGGCGATACAAAAATGGAATGATTTGAATTGATTCGAAGACCCGCTATTGCAGAGGTGTTCCCACTTCATATTTCTGCTGCTTTTGTCTGAGATCGGTGTTGGCGTTCAGGAGCAGGTGGTGATGGGAGACTTCTCTGAGTTCCTTCCTCCCACGTCTCGGGCTGCGTCTCAAAGCCGGGTCTCTGGTCTCTGGTCGCAGGGACAGATATAGCATAAATCTGCATAGTTAACCAGCTCTCATTTATTTAGAGGCTTAATGCAGAGAACACGGAGCCACGGCCACGCCCTCTGCTGCAGGCTGACCGACTGCTCGCATCAGGACCACCGGGAAAACACACCAGGAAATCACTTGTTTATTCAGTCAGATTATTAATCCGTATGACAACAAATACGTAAGTAAGTAACATGTATATATTGAAATTGAACGTTTTTTGACAACAAGGATGTGGTGTCTACAAATCTATCTGCTAAAATAAAATATATAGAAATAATCAAATCAAATGAAATAACAATAGACCTTAGTTTACTTCATCATTCCAAGCACCAACTCAAATGTTCAAGAAACGGTAGAATCAGAATCAATGTATTGCCATTTGCAGAAAAACGACATTAGAACACAAACAGGAGACACCGGGGGCACCAAATATATTCCTCATTTGTAGAATTTGAGACATTTTTAGTGGTGGGGGAAACCGGAGCACCTGGAGGAAAGTATTTTGGTCCCTTGAAGCTGCGGTACCTTTAATTGAATGAATAACAACCATTACATACGTATTCTTGTTATTAGAAAACGTATTTTGTGTAAGAAAGAGCCCTGTGAGTCACTGTTTGACTCTTTGGGCGGATTGGAGGTGACACCCTCTCCGACCGGGGCTGTCTTACTTTCTGCCTTTTCCTACTTTGCCTTTGATTTATTCATTATTATTATTATTACCTCTTTCTTTTCTCACGGTATGAATGGAGGTGGGGGGATCAGGGCATTTTACCAATCAGAAAGTCTGTGATCCGGGCGCCAGAACTCTCCGCGTGGAGCTAATCTCACTGGTAAAGTACCATGTGGCGCAGAACTGAAAAAAGTCTCGTTATGATTCTCAAATCATTAACGACAAAACAAGGAATAAAACCAGGATTTCTATCTTTGTGAAAAAGGTGTTGGTTATAGATTTGTTGTTGACAAAACTGTCTATTCAGCTGTTATGGTCCCAGCTGGATTCGTCTGCATATCTGGCAACCTGAGTCAGGGAGAGTGGGAGAGGCTGCAGTACCACTTTTGGCCACATTTTTACAGACTGCTCCTTTAACTTCCCGCGATAATTATCTGGAAACTTTCTGGAAACGTAGCAGAAAAGAGAGAAGCAGCTTTTATCAGAACACATTTGTTTTAAAGGTGCTTATATTGACTTTAAGTGCTCGAAGTCATCTCACTTTTCATGTCTCCATTTTCTCTGAGTGAAAAGAAAAAGTGAGAATCAACTCGACTCAAGGCTGTCCTTTGACGGCCGGTCGCCATGACAACATGCCGCACCTGGAGCTTTGTGCGATGGGTCCTAATGAATCCAAGGCTCTTTCTCTTTATTCCTTCGAAAACGAGAAATTTAAAGTTCTACAGGAGGAAGACTGGGGCGTCCTCGTCGATCCAAGGCCGAGTGGACTCCGGACTAATGAGCAGAAGGATCCTTGTTAAAAAGTTTAAATGCGGACGATAACGAAGCGAGAAAATCAAGTCAATTCACAAGAACGTGTCGAAGGTTTTCTCTCTTTTGTGCACGTTTTCGACATTTGTCAGTCCCTCCCTCCCATTGGTCAGTCCCTCCGCCCGATTGGTCAGTCCCTCCGCCCGATTGGTCAGTCCCTCCGTCCCATTGGTCAGTCCCTCCGCCCGATTGGTCAGTCCCTCCGCCCGATTGGTCAGTCCCTCCGTCCCATTGTTCAGTCCCTCTGTCCCATTGGTCAGTCCCTCTCCCCGATTGGTCAGTCCCTCTCCCCCATTGGTCAGTCCCTCCGTCCCATTGGTCAGTCCCTTTGTCCCATTGGTCAGTCCCTCTGTCCCATTGGTCAGTCCCACCGTCTGATTGGTCAGTCCCTTTGTCCCATTGGTCAGTCCCTCTCCCCCATTGGTCAGTCCCTCCGTCCCATTGGTCAGTCCGTTTGTCCCATTGGTCAGTCCCTCTCCCCCATTGGTCAGTCCCTCTGTCCCATTGGTCAGTCCCTCTCCCCCATTGGTCAGTCCCTCCGTCCCATTGTTCAGTCCTTCTGTCCCATTGGTCAGTCCCTCTCCCCGATTGGTCAGTCCCTCTCCCCGATTGGTCAGTCCCTCTCCCCCATTGGTCAGTCCCTCTCCCCGATTGGTCAGTCCCTCTCCCCCATTGGTCAGTCCCTCCGTCCCATTGGTCAGTCCCTTTGTCCCATTGGTCAGTCCCTCCGTCCGATTGGTCAGTCCCTTTGTCCCATTGGTCAGTCCCTCTCCCCCATTGGTCAGTCCCTCTCCCCCATTGGTCAGTCCCTCTGTCCCATTGGCCCCTCCCTCACAGAATACTCAGGTTGGAGCATTGTATTGCAGTATTGCAGGTGCCAAAGCAACTCGGAGAATAAGAAGCAAATTTCGAAAAGAAAATGTCCAAATGTTTTCCCAGATTAAATTCCCAAAGCTCCTATAAGAGGAGATATTTAACCCACAGAAACTCACCTAACCTGGTCTTACCACACCATGGTACTCTTTTCATTTCATACTAAGGTCTGGATTTGCTCCATTGACTTCGGTAAAAGGTGGGAGGGGCTAACTACTTTTGCAGATTGAAACCATTGGATCTGAGTTTACTGCGACGTATGTAATGAGCCCGAGTGAGTGAGGCATTTAGCCTAGCATTAGCATTTAGCCTAGCTTTAGCATTTAGCCTAGCTTTAGCATTTAGCCTAGCTTTAGCCATTTCCTTTGCCGCTAACGGAGCCCGTGGGGAGTAGAGCCACAACATCTTTGCTTCAATGACATTCACTAAACATTCCTCTTGCTCCGGCTTCAGTTTCTTGATATTTGGATTGAACCAGAACAGATTATTTTACTATCGCATTCTCCGACAAACTACCACCAGAAAATTCAGCGCAAACTCATGACGTCACCAACACCGACCTACAACACCCGCCTCCCCCGCTCTCTGATTGGTCGGAGGGAATTCAACCGAAGAAACTGCAGCCACTAGGATCAGAAAAGATATGTTCATTAATATATACAGGATATATGTGTGTGTGTGTGTGCGTGTGAGTGTGTGTGGTGTCTGTGTGTCTGTGATGTGTGTGTGTGTGTGTGTGTGTGTGTGTGTGTGTGTGTGTGTGTGTGTGTGTGTGTGTGTGTGTGTGTGTGTGTGTGTGTGTGTGTGTGTGTGTGTCTGTGTGTGTGTGTTTGATGTGTGTGTGTCCTGTGCATATTGAAACCACTCTTGTCGCTGCAGTTATTAAACAGCTCAGATCTGACAGACGGCTTCTCGCTCCTGTAATAAATTTACTGTCAAATTATACATGAATAAAGCCTCAAAATATCCAGAGAGATCGAGCTGAAGGAGAAGGACAGAAGACACATCTGCAAAGACAGGCTTTTTGGTGTCACACACACACAGAGACGCACACAGATACACACACACACACACACACACACCACTTAAACAAGTTCTTTCCACTTGTATGTACATATCTGACTATAAAACTATTTGCATTTATCAGTAGTTTTGACATGCATGCAATGTTGGTCTCTGTCACGTATTTAGATCCAGGACTGAGGCTGTAGATCCAGGACTGAGGCTGTAGACCCAGGACTGAGGCTGTGGACCCAGGACTGAGGCTGTAGACCCAGTACTGAGACTGTAGATCCAGGACAGAAGCTGATATCTCTCCTCTCTCTCCCAGGTCTCTCTCTGGTCTCTCTCTGGTCTCTCTTTGGTCTCTCTCTGGTCTCTCTTTGGTCTCTCTCTGGTCTCTCTCTGGTCTCTCTCTGGTCTCTCTTTGGTCTCTCTCTGGTCTCTCCCTTGTCTCTCTGTCTGGTCTCTCTCTGGTCTCTCTGGTCTCTCTCTGGTCTCTCTGGTCTCTCTTTGGTCTCTCTCTCTGGTCTCTCTCTGGTCTCTCTCTGGTCTCTCTCTGGTCTCTCTCTGGTCTCTCTGGTCTCTCTCTGGTCTCTCTGGTCTCTCTCTGGTCTCTCTGGTCTCTCTCTGGTCTCTCTGGTCTCTCTCTGGTCTCTCTGGTCTCTCTCTGGTCTCTCTGGTCTCTCTCTGGTCTCTCTCTCTCTTGTCTCTCTCTCTGGTCTCTCTCTGGTCTCTCTGGTCTCTCTCTGGTCTCTCTCTCTGGTCTCTCTTTGGTCTCTCTCTGGTCTCTCTCTGGTCTCTCTCTGGTCTCTCTGGTCTCTCTCTGGTCTCTCTCTGGTCTCTCTGGGGTCTCTCTGGGGTCTCTCTCTGGTCTCTCTCTGGCCTCTCTCTGGTCTCTCTCTGGTCTCTCTGGTCTCTCTCTGGTCTCTCTCTGGTCTCTCTCTGGTCTCTCTCTGGTCTCTCTCTGGTCTCTCTCTGGCCTCTCTCTGGTCTCTCTCTGGTCTCTCTCTGGTCTCTCTCTGGTCTCTCTCTGGCCTCTCTCTGGCCTCTCTCTGGTCTCTCTCTGGTCTCTCTCTGGTCTCTCTAAAGATGTGACACAAGCTAAGATTACACACATGTGAAAACTAGCAACAGAGCTAAACTGTTTTAGAACAAAGAACCAGAGACATGAATTAAAGAGTTTTTTTGTTGTGGTCTCAAAGTTACATACCCCAGCTTTAAACACACCCCTGCCTCAGTTCACATGTAGGGCGCGCGGGTTTCATTCATAAAGTGTTTGTGTGTGGGTGTGAGAGTGTGTGTGTGTGCACTTGTTTTCAACTCCTGGTGGGTTCCATAACCTGAGATTCCACTCACGTCATGGGGACTGGTTTTACGTGGTGGGGCCCGAACACCGGACCCCACTGGTCCAAGCTTAATAATCAATGGGTAATGCTTTTCTAACAGTCCTTATGCAGTCTCTGTAAAAATATGGAAAGGACCCCTGGAGGTTTACTTTCCTGAAAAAAGTGTGTTCTGTGTCGGAACCCTGGTGGTGGGTTGCGGAATATCAAGGAGGGGCACACTGGGGCAATTTCAGTCCAGCAGGCTGGAGCCAATCATGGAGCAGCACAACAGAGGAAATCAGGTGTCAGGCTAGAAAAGGTGCAAGTGTGTGGTTCATTAGGCTGCAGCCAATCACAGAGCAGCACACTGAAGCGCACGCTTACACACCACTGGTAAGTGCTGACTACAAGTCATGACTTCAAATTGTTATATAGAATGATTACAAATTATTTGTTGTTTGTGCAGCTTAGTCAAGAGTCCCTAATTGATGAAGTCGACTCAGATTCTGACGATTTAACTGTCAAGAAGAAACCTGTAAAAAAGTATGGAAAAAGAAAAATCAAAAACACTTTTCTTCAAGACTCGGAAAGTGACGAACCAAAGGCAAATAAGATTGTTATCATGCAGCTGCAAAAGAAGAAAAATGGGGGGAGAGTTTACAGCAAGAGACACTTCTGCCTCTACTGTTCAATGTCCTGCCACAAAATGTCCCGTCATTTGACTAGAAAACATGGAAATGAAAGTGACGTAGCCAGAGCATTGGCTCTACCTGTGAAATCTAAAGCACGTAAACTTCAGTTTGATTTGATCAGGAATAGTGGAAACCGTGAGCACAATTTTGAGGTTTTAAAGGCCGGCATTGGAACTTTAGTCCCAGCTAAACAGCCAAATTCCCCAGTTAAATCCAGTGAGTTTTTGCGCTGTATAGACTGTGGGGCATTGCTTAAGCGAAAGTCGCTGTGGAGGCATGTGGCCAGGTGCCGGCTTTCACAGAAAGATGCCCAGGCTAAACCAGGTAGAAGTAGGGTCCAGTCCCTCTGCTCCCTAGCCCAGCCTGTACCGGAGGGCATCAGCAAAAAGCTGTGGTCTTTAATTTCGGCAATGCATCAGGATGAGGTCACGGGTGTTGTCAAAGCAGAAAAGGGGATTCTGAGACTCGGAGAGCACCTGTACTTAAAACACGGGCATGATAAGACTAAGCATGATTACATTAGGCAGAAAATGAGAGAAGTCGGTAGGTTAATTAACGAAGCAAAAACCGCAGGGAAACTGAAAACAATTAAGGATTTCTTTATTCCTTCCAACTTTAACCATGTGATTGATGCAGTCAGGTCTGTGGCTGGATATGATGAGGAAACAAATCAATACAAGACTCCATCCTTGGCCCTCAAACTCGGCCATAGCCTCAGAAAGCTAGCAGATATTCTTGAATGTGACTCAAAAATGGAGCATTGTGTTGATGAACTATTTATTAAAAACCTCCAACGAAGCCGGCTGCTTTTTGAGAAGAGGTGGGACGTCTGTGTTTCTTCTGCTGCCCTACAGACCCTCCGGCAAGCCAAGTGGAACACTCCGGACCTGCTCCCTCTGACTGAGGACGTTAGAGCCATGCATGCACATATTGAGGTATGTCGACCTGAATATGTGCAAACCCTAATAAGTGAGCCAACGTTAAGCATTGGTCTAAACTGGCAGTTTTGACTCTTTGTGAGGTCATCATTTTCAATCGAAGAAGGGAAGGTGAGGTTTCAAAGATGCCACTGACAGCCTTTACCTTAAGAAGTAAGACTGGGATCCATTCTGACATTGCTCTGGGACTGTCCCAACTTGAGAAAAAGCTGTGTCAGCATTTTCAACGCATTGAAATTAAAGGGAAAAGAAGTCGGAAAGTCCGGTTCTTTTGACTCCTGAAATGATTGCTTCGATGGAGGTGCTGGTGGAGAACAGAAGGGCCTGTTCCATCTCTGACCATAACCCATACTTCTTCTCCCGCCCGGGCGCAGACACCCACATCAGGGGATCAGACTCCCTACGCCAGGTAGCCAAAGAATGTGGTGCGGTGCATCCAGAGATGCTATCCTCAACCAAACTTAGAAAGCACATAGCTACTATGTCTACAGTTCTCAATATGAAAGAGAATGAGATGGACATACTTGCCAACTTCCTCGGCCATGACATTCGCATCCACAGGCAATATTACAGACTACCAGAGGGGACACTGGAGCTGGCCAAAATCAGCAAAGTGTTGATGGCCATGGAGCAGGGAAGAGTGACGGAATTCGAAGGAAAGAGCCTCGACCAGATACAAATTGAGCCTGAAGGTAATTCTTGATATTATTAAAATATGTATGATTTTTTTCCCCTAAAGGCCACTTGTATTTTTATTTTCTGTGCGACAGGGAGAGCAGTAGAGATCCTCTCACAAACGGACGGGCTAAAAGAAACTTCAAGCGGAGAACCTTCAACCATTCATCCAGATGCACCCCATGGTAGTGGCAGTGCCCCTTCTGGTAAGTGTACCAGGTGGGGGATTACAGCCAGGCTGCTTGGTCCTAACCCTGGGAGTGTATATTGCTAATATATTTTTATTTCTCTCCCTAGAACGTGTAAGAAAGCCATGGTCTGCATTTGAGGTGAAGGCTGTGGAGAAGACCATGACACCTTTCATACAGACTGGAAAGGTCCCTGGGAAGTCTCACTGCCTGGCCTGCATTAATGCCTCACCAGATGACCTTAGACATCGGACATGGAGTGGCATTAAATTCTATGTCAAAAATAGAATCACTGCAATTCGAAAACAAAATCTAAAATAAAATTCCTTTAAAAGAGTTGTTTGTTTTCTATTGACTGTTTTGTATTACTTAAAGTAGTCCCAGTAAAAAAAGATTATGTCTATGGGTCCCATTCTGAACGGCCCTGTCAAAGGGACCCACCAGGTAACAAAAACGTGTATGTGTGTGTGTGTGTGTGTGTGTTCTTGGGCAGAGGAGGGAGAGGGCGCTCCGGTTTCCACAGATCCGTCTTTGAGGCACAGACACAGACGTGGATCCGACAGAGAAACTCAGGGGACCGAGCTTTAATGAGGTCATCAGATCAAAACGTTTAGTGGGAGGGTCTTGGCAGTGAACGCACATGATTCTGATGTAGCTGTGGCTTTATGGTTAGGTTCATGGTCCTGATGGAAGTCTCAAGTTTCTTACAAATCTCTCTTATCGCTGCAAAAAGTGATGAAAAATAAGTCAGAAATGTCTCAAATTTGGGAAAATGTGTCTTAATATGATTCTGACTCAGCCTTAAAGATTTACCAGTGGGACAAAGCAACACTAGCTTGTTTTTGGCTTGAGTTGTGTCTCTCTCTGGTCTCTCCCTCTCTGGTCTCTCCCTGGTCACTCCCTCATTTCTCTCTCCAGGCTTTTTCTGGTCCCTCTCTGGTCCCTCTTTGGTCTCTATCTGGTCTCTCTCTTGTCTCAGGTCTCTCCCAGGTCTCTCTCTGGTCTCATTCTGGTCTCTCTCTGGTCTCTCTTTGGTCTCTCTGGTCTCTCTGGTCTCTCCCTGGTCACTCCCTCATCTCTCTCTCCAGGCTTTTTCTGGTCCCTCTCTGGTCCCTCTCTGGTCTCTCTCTAGTCTCTCTGTGCTCTCTCCCAGGTCTCTCCCAGGTCTCTCTCTGGTCTCATTCTGGTCTCTCCCTGGTCACTCCCTCATCTCTCTCTCCAGGCTTTTTCTGGTCCCTCTCTGGTCCCTATTTGGTCTCTCTCTGGTCCCTCTCTGGTCCCTCTCTGGTCTCTCTCTGGTCTCTCTGGGTCTGCAGGTCTTACCATGTGTAAACTCTGGTCCATGATCATCTCTTACATGTACAGTACGTCTGGTCTTACCATGTGTAAACCTGCAAAGGGCGAGATCAGTGAGAGCAGAGTTTGGGTCACTATCCTCCAGATACCTCGGATTACGAGGAGCAACAGCCTCTGACCTGAGCACCGCCACTTCCTTCTCGGCTCGATTGTGTCAATACCACCTAATCCAGTTGCGGTGGCCATAGCTGCAGGTGAAAGCCAGATCCCCTCAGACCTCTAAGCTAAGCAGGGCAGGGCATGGTCAATACCGTGAGGGGAGACCTCTGGGAACAGCGGCTGTAAAGTGCTAAACTGTGGTTGTGTCCTTAGGCAAGACATTTCCCCCACATTAGAATGAGTCTGGTGTGTGTGTGTGTGAATGGTTGGTGGTGGTGGGAGGGGCCGATATCAGACTGGTGGCCTTGCTTCTGTCAGTGTGCCCCAGGGCAGCTGTGGCTACAGTAGTAGTTTATCACCACCGTGTTTGGAGTGAATGAATAAATATGTGAAAAGACTTTGAGCGTCCATAAAAGCACTATTTAAAACCAATGTATTATTATTATTATTATTATTAGATGTCAGTGTAGTTCTGGCTCAGTCTTTAGTGTTTGAATTTCATCCTCCTGATTCCTCCTTGGTTTATTATGGCTGAGAGCTGATTGGCTGAGAGCTGATTGGCTGAGAGCTGATTGGCTGAGATCTGATTAGCTGAGGGAGGGTGGTTGTCTCAGAGTGTGTGTCGGACTGAAGAGCTTGTGTGTCCTCATTGTGCATGCTGTGTGTGACTTCAGAACCACACAGCGCCTGCAATGTGGAGGCGTCGGCTTTTACCCACGGCGGACACACACTGAACACACACGGGACACACACCAAACACACACTGGACACACACCAGACACACACCGGACACACACTGGTCATACACTGGTCACACACTGGACATACTAGACACACACCAGACACACACTGGACACACACTGGACACACACTAAAAGGAGGATTTCTATCTTTGTGAAAAAGGTGTTGGTTATAGATTTGTTGTTGACAAAACTCTTGTCTATTCAGCTGTTATGGTCCCAGCTGGATTCGTCTGCATATCTGGCAACCTGAGTCAGGGAGAGTGGGAGAGGCTGCAGTACCACCTTTGGACACATTTTTACATATTGCTTCTTTAATTTCTGTTGGTCATGGAGAGACTTTTAACAAACAGAACTGTTTTAAAGTCTATATATGGTTTTCCATTTCGTACTTATTACCCATGATGCTTTGCGCGAACGCCATGTTGTGGGTCTGGCTTATATTGCACGGATCATTTGTTCCCATGTCATCTAAAGCCATGAAGTATATTGATACACTGCAGTAATCCGTGAGGCGAGGTCCTTGGAGAAACTGAGAACGATCGTAGATTTGGATCCATATGAAACGCGGCGAGACCAGTGCACTTCGCCAGAAATGGTTTACTTTCACTTAACAGTTTTACAATTAAAAAAGATCATGATGTATTTGGTGCAGTACTTCTTTCAATTAATATTTTATTTTGAACGAAGCAGTTGATATCACAGGCCGTAAATCACTTCTGTCTACCACCCTTCCCCCCCTCCTCCTCTTCCTCTCATTCATTAGAAGGGCGTTCATTAGAAAGACTTAGTATCACAGTCAAGTCGCAGCTCTGAATATAAACCACACATGCACAGATTCAGCTCTTCTGTTATCAAATGGTCCGAACAGACCGTATAGTGCCGTTTTTCAAGGGGTTAGGGTTGAATCCCTCTGGTTGATCCTCGCCAACTAAAAAGTTATTTTCTCCATCGAGAGTCACTCCCCTGGCTCGTAATAACCTTCGGAATGTCCCCACAATCTGCACGGTTACTACACCCCCAAACGATGCAGACAGTCGGCATGTTTTAGTGATGTGCTACGCTTTGTTTACCTACAACTATCAGCGGCTTGACCCACAATATGGCGAACTGCGGAATTGTGGGTAGAGAATCTATTCTCTGAGCCACAGGAGAGAACTGAGACCAGGACTAATTCAATGGTACTTCCTGGTTCTAGTCTGGACTAATACGATGGTACTTCCTGGTTCTAGTCTGGACTAATACGATGGTACTTCCTGGTTCTAGTCTGGACTAATACGATGGTACTTCCTGGTTCTAGTCTGGACTCGAGATGCAGAGTTTTGAATAAACTGCAGCTGTTTTTCAGCCCGTTTGGAGAGTCCAGTGAGCAGCAGAACAGTCTGACACTTGACAAAAGCAGGATATTCTGCTTTAGGCTCTATGTTTTTGATCCTGGCTCAACACGGATATTTTTCCGACGGTAAAAAGCTGCAGTTGCTACTGATTTGATGTTTAAATATTGGTCTGAGATGATTAGATTTCTGACCAGATTTGAAGGTTATAGAGAGAGAGATAACGCCCTCTTTGTTGCTGCGGACCAAAGACAATTATTTCAGTTTTGTCTGTTTAGTTTTAATGGAAATGAAGCCTCCAGAAAATGTGCTGATTTAGACGTCCAAGCACGAAACCGTTTATACAAATCAAACCAGACTTTATTTTTCATTTGCAGTAAAACCACATTGGAATAAATGTGCAAAAGTCCCCAGAATGCACCAGACAAGTGCATGAATGAAACAGTCTAATAAAGAACACGTTGATAGAACCTTTGATGTATATTTTCAGTGTCATTGACTAAAGGATGGAATGAAGTGTCCTTTGCTCCAGTGCAGACTGTGGGACTCTGGTCTGGAGCCGCCACAGACTCCACTCTCTGCATAAACATGTTATCACTCCTCCACCAGTGTGGGGGAGGTAATTACTGAGAGACCAGGGAGAGGAACCAGAGGGAAGCTTAGAGAGAGACCAGAGGGACCAGAGGAGAGCAGAGAAGACCAGCGAGAGACCAGAGGGAGACCAGAGGAGAGCTTAGAGCAGGGGTGCCCAAACCTTTTGCTTCCAAGGGCCAAAGTAAAAATTTGCCAGTGGGCCGCGGGCCAAATACACCAATATTATGCATGAAACACAAATAAATGTAGATTTGATCAAGTTCTTTTAAATGCATTAATTATTGTCTATCAGTGCAAATCACAGCTGAATGAATGAAATCAACACAGTCTTAGTGAAGTGGAGGCTCCTGGGAAATATGCAGGTTTGAGGAGACTACAGTACGGAAAGATTCCGGCCGGGTAATCAGGGTCCAGAGGAGGGAGATTTTCTGTCATTGCTTATTTAAAGATTAAAATCATATAAAAAACCTCAAAAAGAGAACAGAAACATACATTTTGTGTGCACCATGTGCACTTGTATATTGTAAATAGTAACTGTAACTGAATATTAAACTAACAAAATCAGACTAGTTAACCATGATTTGTTCCTGGAGTTTTGTTTTGTTTTGCCTAAACACAGTACAACATGTATAAACAATCAAAACAAAGTAACTGTTAAAGAGTCCGAGTTTCCGCTCCTCCAAAGGGCTCTTGAACGCATCATAAAACTCCGCGTAAGTTCTGTCTGACATTCAATGATCGCGAGTGAGGACGGCGCTTACCGGCTTCTTTCATGGGGTTGTAGAAGGGCTTGTTTTGCACAGTATTTGTTGCTTCTACTTACGTGGATCGTGCGCTGCGATCCCTGCTTGTCCTGCTTGAACTCACTCTGAAGTGTTTGTGTCCGTCCTTTTTAACACACCGGGTGGGTGCGGATTGCGCAGGTGAATAGTTCCACTCGCCATTTCCCTCCGGTGAGGAGGGGGAGTGGCAGTTCGGCAGCACAATCCTCTCAATTTGATAAAACATTAAATTGCTCAAAAAAATAATAATAGTAGGCTGAAAAAAAAGAACATAAAGGGGCCTTGCACCCAATTGTTTTGAAAGATGTGTTTGATTTTAAAAAACATTTTAGTGCAAGTTGATGTGAACCATGAGTGAGGAGTGTTTCTCGATACAAGACTTAAGTACTGGACAGTCGGTATTCAGAGGGCGACTATGCGCCCGCGCGACCTCAGACATGTCACTGTTTGTTTAGGGAGGCTGAGGGACGCAGATAGAAACTTGGGCAATGTTTGGCGGGCCAACTGAAATGGTCTGGCGGGCCAACTTTGGCCCGCGGGCCCCACTTTGGGCACCCCTGGCTTAGAGAGAGACCAGAGAGAGAGCAGAGCAAGTCCAGAGAGAGACCAGAGAGAGAGACCAGTGTAGAGGACGCTATTACTGAGCTCTGGGAGGACTGAGGCTGCGGTTAGATTGAACGTGACATGCAACCAGAGGAGAGCAGAGGGAGACCAGAGAGAGACCAGAGGAGAGTAGA